CTATTGTATTCTATAGTCGTCGACGATTTTGGCACTAATCGTGGCAGCCCTACTTGACAGCATCACACATCCCATCACATCCCAAATTGGTTTGAGATCCGGTGTCTGCAGAGGCAGTTAGAATACAGTGAACTCAATGTCATGTTAAAGCATGGACCAGTATCCTGCTGACAGTGATCAGAAGATGAGCACATTGTGGTCATTAAAGGAACACGAGGCAGGCTGGATCTATGCAGTCATTTACAGCCAAATACTGACCCTCTCGTAATTGAGACTCATTAGATCTGACAACGTCTGATAATGGCTGTGTAGATAATCTCTGTAGATAAGAAGTTTCTAAAATACTCAGACCAGCCTGTTTGGCACTAACATTGACAGTCACTTACATCACCTTTCTTCCACAGTCTGATGTTTGGTTGGGATACAGGCCACAAGGATGAAATGTTAGCATGGCAAAAATCTTCTTTATGTAGCTCCTTTTAGATGTTGCCATAGCATACAGTCTGACTCCATCTCACTGTCTCCAACATCCTCTTCTGTCACACCGACCCCCTGCATGCTGCACTTTACTGCGTTCATTCATCTATAAACCTCTGAGATCTTACTTTTTCCTCCCTCCTGGCAGCTCTGTATTCACCATCTTTTGTTCACTATCTCCACTCTCCCTCTGCACGTGTTTAAACCATCTCAGCGTTGCCTCTCTAACTTTGTCTCCAAAGTACTCAACTCGAGCTGTACCTCTGATGTAAAGTACTCATGTCTAATCTTGTTCATCCTAGTCACTCCCAGTGAAAACCTTGACATATTCATCTCTGCCACCTACTGCTCAGCCTCCTTCTCTACCTTCTATAGCACCATCTAAACCTTCCTTTTTACTCTTGCACCTGAGCTCCTGTCACACTCATCTCCATCAACTCCATCCTGCCTGTAGTCTAATTTTCACCTCATCTGTGCACTGCTTTGGATAGTTGACTTCAGATATTTAAACTCATCTACCTTCACTACCTCTACTGCATGTTCACATTTCCAGCTGTTTCCTCTTGTTCCCACAAGTATTCTGTCTTGCTTCTACTGACTTTCACTCTTCTTCTTCTTTCCAGGGCATCCTCTGCCTCTTCAGATTCTCTTCCACCTGCTTACTATGCTCATAACAATATTATCTGGAAGCATCAGAGTCCATGGAGATTCCTACCTGACCTCGT